CTCAAGCTCCCACGTAACGTACTGAGTTGCGTGGCGATGTGCACAGTCGGCATACGTAATGTACAGACTTGCGTGGCGATGTGCACAGTCGGCACTTGCAAGGCAGCACAGACGCCCCTGTCACTCAAGAATCCTTCACCAGACTAACATCAAGGAGCCAAACGGAGTGGCAGCAGTGCTGGTGTCGTCAGAGATGAGCAGATGGTAGCTGCCAACAGCACTGAGAGCTTAACGGCACTTGCCCGAGTTTGTTCTCAGTTCCTTAAGTGTGTTACTGCACTGAACCCTCGTATTCTTCCTGGCTTGGGTACTGCAGTGTCCACAGTCTGTACCTGGGAGACTGAGGCACAGAGAATTAGGTAACTTACTTAAAGGAGTACCGTTAGTGAAAGTCGGAGAGGAGATTCAACCCAGGCAGGTGATCCTGAGTCTGGTTCTTAGCTGCTTTACCTTTTAGTGATTCCAGGCCTGTCACGACGTGAATAATATTAGGGCATCCTCCAGACACCACCGTGTCTACGCACAGTGATGATTATTGTAGAAATAGGCACAAGAAAAACATTCTGAAGCATCACTAAGTATTCTTGGATGCCAATTTTATAAAATTATAAGTGGTGGTATTTTTACCATGTGGTAGAAATATGCTAGGTTATATTCCTGTTTCCAGGTCCTCTTTCTTCTGTCTTTTGTGACTTTTCCATATCCTAGAGCCTAAGATTGAAACACCATCAGAATAAATGGCAGCCACCTCTCCTTGCGGTCTCTTCCGGCTGGACAGGGAGCCCCAGATTAACTACTCAGCTGTCACAGGCAGTTCATGCAAAATCAACTTAGGCAGCATGGTTTTCTACTTCATTAATAATTTGCAGTAGGCGGCTTCCCTGGTGGCGCAGTGGTTGAGAGTCTGCCTGCCGATGCAGGGGACGCCGGTTCGTGCCCCGGTCCGGGAAGATCTCACATGCCGCGGAGCGGCTGGGCCCGTGAGCCATGGCCGCTGAGCCTGCGCGTCCGGAGCCTGTGCTCCGCAACGGGAGAGGCCGCAACAGTGAGAGGCTCGCGTACCGCAAAAAAAATAAAAATTAAAAATAAATAATAAAAAAAAAATTTGCAGTAGGATGAATACGGTAAAATCATTTACTAATAACATTACATTATATTATTTTCTACTATTCATATTGAAGGTCATTTAGAAAATGGGGACCAAAGTAGCTATAAAATTTGCCAAAACTAATTATTTTTTGCCGTAAAGTTAAAAGTCATGTTACTT